TGGGTTACCTTTGCTATGGGCGGCTGAAAAGTGCTTGAAGGCAATTGCAGCACCTTGAACCTCTGCGATTTATGAATGAGAGTTGGTGTTAAATTATATTTGCATGTACACATGGACATTTTCGCAGCTAATTATTTGTATACGTAAATTCATATGTATGTATGTTTGTATGTAAATGTTTGATAGTGAAATATGAACACAGCTGGCTACAAGTGCACATGCGTTTAAATTAATAATAATAATAGATTGGCGCTTCAACAATATGTTAGTGTTTGGCCGAACTTCTTCTCCGATTTTTGGCGTGCGCTTTTATGTTGTCACACAAAGAGGAGCAACCTACAGTTTTACGCCGACTGCGAACGGCGATTTTATTTTTATGAGAAGTTGTTATTCCCGGCCGAAATACACTAGGAGATTTTCCATTGCCTTGCAAACGGCTACCGCTATTAGAAAACAGTTGTTTGCTTGTTATTTTGTTGTTGGACGGAAACTGGGCTCAAACCCAGGCCCTGCGCAATGGTAGCGCGCACTGCTAACCGCTAAATCACAGCGGCTGTTGGAGTTGTTATTAAGTAGTCGTTTTTTATAGATATGAGTATGCTTATAAGAAATTAAGTAGATATATATGTAGTTTAATTCTTGAATATAAAAAAAATATATATTACAAAGCAAATTATTCTTCTTTTCTAAGTGCGCAGCATTCAAAGCCCACATTTGAGTGGTTGAATTCCTTGAAATAAAAAACGCTTAGGTGTTCCGCAAGGTGTCGTAAAATATAGTATTATTGTAAGCTATACATTGTATAGCGAATAATACAAAGATATATGTATGTATATTTTTATTCGCAAGGGGGCGGCAAGGTTCTACAGTCTAACTCCACTAAGAAAAAAGTAACATGGTTTTTTCAAATAGCGTCTTGTTTGGATTTCGATTGTAATGTGCAAATCTGTACAAATACACCAATCGTGTGATTTGGCCTTTATGTAAATGTTGTACTGAGTTGTGTTTAGCTGAGTGCGCATAGATGCTTGCTACAGTTGGTTGCTGCCAACTCTCATTGGGCGATACATATAATTTTAAATATTTATTTGCGGTTTTTCTTAATTATGAAAAGGCATCCGTGAAGTGCACAGGGAAATCGTGTTTAAACGAAAAAATCTCCAAAAATTAATCTGTTCAAAGTAAACAAAAGCTTTTGTGGTGCAAAATCATATGTGTTTTTGTTTGAAACAAAGACGATATGGTTTATTTTTTTCTCTCTCCTTTGGTCGTCAAAAAAAAATTACTTTAATTTATAACTTTTTATAATTTTTATTTAACTTGTTCTTTTTCGTTCATTGCAGGTAAGCAACTGTACATAGTACATACGAATGTATACATGAGTGGCTAAATAAACTTTAACAACCAAGCACGTGTTAACACCGACAATAACAATCGAGTGAGTCATCTGAACGGGTATACATATAATTACTTAAATACATACACATATTACTTAGTGCAAATTTCCAGCGAGTATTTAGCTTTAAGTTAAACAAAGGCATTTTAGCTATTTATTCATATGTCAGCTGCATACGTGCTTATGTAATATTCATAACAATGGCTAAGTAATCGATGCATACGAAAGCAAATAATTGCTTCGCAACCGGAAAATGGAATTTAAAACATTTGAATGTACATATGTACATATAAACACGGGCATGCAAATAAAAGCGAACCTGCACCTCTCATTTAAAGTTACTCATACCAAACAGTCACCATTTCTGTTTAACAAAAAGGAGCTACAATACTGCATACCCGAAATATTTCTAAAACATCGGATCAAAAAGTTGAAACGTTTCATGAAAATGAAGTCGAATTTTTATACAAAGTTTGGAGTTTTAGTTTTTATGGTATTGTGAACTACATTTTTAAATCAATTGCAAAGTAGTATAGACTAAGATTGAGTTTAGAAATGGGATTGAGATAAAGACAAAGGTTAAAGTTAAGGTTAAGGTTAACTTTAAAGTTAAGGTGGAGGTTAAGGTTAAAGGTAAGGTTAAGGATGAAAATTATTATTAAGCAATTTTTTAAAGAATTTTACTAGTTCTTGTTTGAAAAATGAGATATTACTTTTTGACCTACAACTGACCTTGAATATTGGGTTTACACTTTTTACATAACTTTCCCTTAAAATACAGTGGTGCTCCAGTATAACGAATGCCGATAAAAAGAATGTTCGGTATAACAAACACTTTTTCTCAATGCATTGTCGACTCTAACGAATGTTGTCTGACGAATGTTGGAAATTTGAAAAACTCGATATTACGAATGCTTTGCAATTTGTTTTACGACTGCTTCGAGAAGTGCATCAAATGATCTGAATACAATAAGTTGAAGCATCAAAAAGCACTCAATCTCAAAATTTCCCGTCCTCAAAAACAATCGAGCATATCAGACTTATTTTCCACGAAATAAAACCACCTCAAAATTTTAAAATTTTTGGTGTGGAGCTCTAGCTCTTTGTCTATGTTTTTTTCTTTATATATGCAGCTATGTATGGAATTTTTGATAAATGAATGAATCAATCTTTTTACTAAGCGTATATACATACATACGTATATATGTATGTAGGTACGAATTTTCCGTTTAACGAACAGTTCTGACATTATATAATTCGTTATACTGGAGCACCACTGTATATGTTTTTACCTTAAAATAATAAAAAAGCACCAAAAATGGTTAATTCCAAAAGGAGAATTTTATATCGTTTCGGCCTACTGTGCGCCGTCGGGTTACGATCTGAGTATCCTTGCTCCTTAATGGAAGCTCTGCTATCTATGCTTTGATTGCATCACAGTAACGTAGCGTTACTTAGTGCCTAGGTTACTTTTGATCTAAGGTTAGGTTGATATTGAAAATGAATGAAATCAGATAACAACTCCACCCACCTCCCATATAACGGTTATTTTTGAGAAATCTAAAACCTGCGATAATTCAGTTACAACCGAAATAAAATCAGTCAAAACTAAAAGAAAATAACGTTTTTCCAGAATTGGATTTAAGTAAATAAAATTTTGGAAGATGGGCGCGCACCACCCACTTATGGCAAAATGTGTGTATCTCAGTGACCGCTAAACCAATTTCCTCTAAATTTGATACATAGAAAATTTTTAAAATCTTCCTATATAACGCCAATCATCAGGAAAACGCATTTAAAAAGATACCTTTTATGCACACCTTCTTTTAATTTTTATTTTTGCTAATTTGTCACTTTGAGGGTTCGCTGTTACACTCTTATATTTTGGTCGCTTGACCAAGTACAAGTCATACAACTTCAGACTCAAACGAAAAATAAAATTTTAGCAAAACCTTTGTGTGAGCCATGGTGCGCTGTTGACAGTGGCGACGACGAGTTTGCTGCCACGCTGTCTTTTGTGTGTTTGCAGTCGAAAGTGTTGCCAAATGGTAGCAGACTTCTACCCAATTTTTTTGTTTCACAATACCAAAAAAAAAAAACAACAAACAAACGTACATAGTAACCTAAATAAAACAAACCACACTACACAATTCCACGCAGTTCACGTAAATGGCATTGAGAACAGTTGAGCCAAATTTTTATTAGCTGATTTCCATGTAAGTCGTTGTCGCGCTACTTTATTTGCTTGTACATAAATATATATGTATGCATTTTTTTCTGTTTTTGCTTTGATTTCTACTTACTGAATAAACGAAAATCGATAATTTCCCGCTTGTTTGGTTGTTGGTTTTTTGCTGACCCTGAATGCAGTGGTAGATGGCAACGTTGGCACTTTGCTACGATCGTAGTAAATTTGCTACGATTTTTCAAAAATTTTAAAATTTGTTACCCGACTACGCTTTATCCTTTTTTTACTACGCTTTTTATATTTCATTAAACTTATGGGCAGCAACTATTTGTAAATCGCTATAACTTTAAAAATGGGGTAAACAGGCCATGGGGTTCAAGATCTAAATGTATACTTTTACTGCAAATTGTGCAGGAAGCGTCTGACCAAAAACATCTGCAACATAAATATGCACAACCGGTCAAATTTTCGCATAACAGACAGAAAGATTAAATGTGCGAGAGGAATACGAAGTTGCGGAAAGAGTTTACAATGACTGCTTGTCGCACTAGTTCCACGATGGATTCTTTGCCATAGATAAAAAGCGGCACAACGGAGGCAATATTCCGTGGAAATCAAATTATCGACATTCTCAAATAAAGTAAATTTTCACTTGTTTAGTTGTATAAGTTCGGTACCTATTTGGAAGACGCAACTGCAAAAGAAACAAATATAATACAATACTTAAAAGAGTACAAATATTATTGAAATTTGTTATGTCTTGTTTTAAAACATTAAATATGCATATAAATTTAAAAAAATAACCAATTCTTATCTTTTGGTACGATTCTATATTTTTTAGTACGATTTCTTTTGCTACGCAATCGGTTTCGTGAGGTGCCAACCCTGGTAGTTAGTAGTAATTCACCTTGTGAACATTTATGTATTTGCACATACTTATGCAAGTACATGTGCAGGTTTACTATATACTCTTGGACTGATGTTCGCTAAGTTTTAGAAATATCCACTGTAAGTTTTAGCAAATTTCTATTAACATAAAGAAGTTTTATTTGTTTCAGAGGAACTCTGAAAAAAATTAAAAAAAATTTTATGTCGGTAAACACAAAGTATTTACTATAACTGGGGTTTGGTTTCAAATCTGGACGAACTGGACCATTTATTCTGATTTCCTTTTTAATTAGATTAAAAAATTAACGATTAAAATCTTAATCGCAATTAACTATTAAAACTAATTAATCGTAATCTCAACCAACGATTACTAATAAAAAAATTTAATCATTAATCGTACCGGTGATTGCGATTAATTAATTTTAATTGTTAATTGCGATTAACATTTTAATCGTTAATTTTTAATCATTTAGAAGATTAAAATTTTGTAAACACTGATTCAAGGAATGTCAGCCCGATGCTTCTTAGATAACACTATGTAACAAGGTTTTTGTCCCTGGGTTGTAATTGTTATTTCCTAGTCAGTTAGGTCCCAAAAGTATAGAAAACAGCTATTGTCGCAAGATAACTTTGCTTTTGTGACCATGGCAGCGCTTATCTGCGTTTATTTTTATGCTTGTTTGTTGAAAACTGATACACGAGCGCATACAACTTGTTTTCTCTACATTTGTGTGTGTTAAAACTAGTGTTGGGCAGTATCGATTCCAAAAGTACTCAGTACTCGATGCTGAAAAGTATCGACAGTACCCGATGCTGAAAAGTATCGATACCAAAGTAGTAAATACACAAAAGTACTCGATACTGCCCAACACTAGTTAAAACAACAAAGTCGTCGCAGAAGGTACTGATGCCACCACTCCACATCAAACTGGGTCTTATAAAGCAATTCGTCAAAGCTCTCGACAAAAATTCTTCAGCGTTCAAGTACCTACAAGACTTGTTCCCTAAGCTCTCTGAGGCGAAAGTTACAGCCGGTATCTTCGTTGGACCACAAATAAAGAAAATCTTCGAGTCTGAGGAATTCCCCAAGAAGCTCACTCGTGTTGAGAAAGCTGCTTGGATGAGTTTTATGTCAGTGGTACAGGGATTCCTAGGCAATCACAAAGCCGCAAACTACGTGGAGCTGGTCGAAAGTCTGGTGGAGAACTACGGCAAAATGGGCTGCAGGATGTCTCTCAAACTCCATATTCTGGATGCACATCTTGACAAATTCAAGGAGAACATGGGAGCATATTCAGAGGAGCAAGGCGAGCGCTTCCATCAGGATATAATGGAATTTGAGCGGCGATACCAAGGACAATACAATGAGAACATGATGGGAGATTACATTTGGGGATTGATTAGAGAAAGTGACTCGCAGTTTAAACGCAAATGTCGAAAAACCACCCGCTTCTGATTTACTTTTATGTTTTTGGTTTTCTGAAGTTTTAATAAAATTTAGTTTTGATTTATATGTGCTGTTCTGTATGATTTTCTCTGTAGTGAAAGACTCAAACACGTTTTTCTCATAATTTTAGCATATTTTAATGAATCACATTGTCCTGGTCACAAAAGCAAAGTTTCCGAGGAATATTAGGTGGTTTCCATACTTTTAAGGCATAACAGACTAGGAAATAACAATTACATCCCAAGGACTGAGAAATTTTTTTTTTTTGTTACTTAGTGTAATTTATATTGCAGAATTGGCACTTTCTTTTCCATTTTTGCGCGTAATTTGGATGTATTTATGTACATATAGGGTTTTTGCTATATAATGAGCGGTATTTCTATAAAATAATAAACATTAAACAAACAAAAGAAAAATAGCAAAAAACTGGTCAAAATGGCCTGTCCTTATTATTTTTCACATGACTGTATATGCCTAGGTTTATATTAATAAATCAGATATGTATGTTTTTCTATGCATTCGGTATGAGTAATTCTTCAGCTAATAACTCCTGAAAACTTAAAAGCCACTTATTTGCTTGCTACAATTAAAATTAAATTAAACTAGCAGCCGAGTGCAAATTAAAATAGCATCTCTGAGATTTTATCAAGATAATCAACTTTCCAAGAATTTAACAGAATCATACTGAAGCCCCAAGAAAAACATGAAAACCCTAAAAACTACTTATACTTATTTCGCTATAAATCAAAATAAAAGTCAGCACAATTTGCGTCAATATACAATTTAGAGCTGCATATGCACGAGGAAACGAACAAACCAGATCACGAAATTGTTGTGACAAAACTGAATCAAATAATTAAGTAAACGTAAACGTAACAGAAAACAGAAGTAGGGATGTCAATGGCAAAAATACATCGATGTATTTCTTTGATTCGGTGCATCGAAAAGTACATCCGTATCTTTCGATTCATCAGATTAATTACTTTAATTGAGCTAATTATGTTTCTAATGGAGCTTGTCAGAGCAATTCCAATTTTTGGCCAAACTGAAATGGCGGTCCGATGTATTACAGATGTAAATTTTCAAAATACATCGATGCATCGATACATCGACTATTTATACATCGAGTGGAAAATTCTCGACACGTCGAAGCAAAACATCAATATTTTCGATGCATCGATGTTTTTCCGATACCCCTAATACAAAAACTGTTGTACATGGAGCAACACAGAGTAGTTTTTATACCATGGGTGAACTACTTAGAAACCTTAACGAACCTCGTCATTAATTTAAATTGCTTACCCCCCTATCCTACATAGATCATCCAAGAATGGTGTCCCAAGACACCGCAACCAAAAGTTAAAAAACTGTGTTTTCATCCTCATAGTTCTTCCAGTTTCTTCAGCATCACCGAAACGGGACTCTGATATCGTATGACTGCTTTTTTAGAACGTAGGGGTTCCAGGGATATCGGCTTCCGTTGGGATGCCTCTCTCGAGTGAAGAGTGTGAAAAGCAGAAAAACTGAAAAAAAAGTTTAAACCATCATTTGGAGTTTAGAGCATTACTCGGTCGCTATACAGATCCATGTCCAGAGGAATGTCAGAAGATTTAGCATTGTTAGTTCGTCTAAGGCTTAGCTTCGGTGAAGTTATCGACGTTATTTTATATATTTTTTTTTAACAGCAAGTGCCAATTTTATCGAACGTGGAGACCACAGCGCGAGGTCAATCCTTATACGTCGCGAAATGTCTTCTGTCGGTAGAGACATCACAAACGTAGGTGACAAATTCCATTTCTTAACAAAATTTTATGGATCAAACGTTTAAAAATGTCAATTACGGCTCTACTGAGTGAGTCACTTGAATCAGATTATCTCAAATTATCTTTTTAAATTTATGTAAATAAAAGTTCAATCCGATTTTTAATTGCTGAAATTGCTCATTGAGAAACAAACAGCAAGACCCAGTGGTGAAATGCCGACGATATTTTCTCGTAGAAATTCATATACGTTATTTAAGGAATATAAAATAGAAGTCCATACCATGCCAAAAAATAAGCTGCGTGGTGGCCCAGTGAATAAATGACGCTTATTCGTGATTTTTTTTACATCTATATTTTTCCCCTTCCAACGCTATTCCTTATTCCCTAATTTCTATTGCTCTAATTTCACATAATAATATGTGATCCAACAACCGAACAAAAATGTAACAGCAATCGCCAAGAAACGCCTTGCCCTCTAGCAATTATGTCCTCAATGCGGATATTCAGCAGTCATCTTAAGAAGAATGTTGGGTGGGCATATGTTCACCGAAGGCAGTCCTTCCACACACAAATTCCCGCAAAAATATTTAGTAGCCAACATACATATATGTATATGTATGTAGATGTACTTTGTAACTGAGAAAATGTTAGAGCATACGACCCAGATTTAAAACAACGCACATTTCCCATCATCATCATCATCATCGTGGCGAGCAGTCAGTCAGTTCCCCTGCACGGCAATGAGCTGCCAAGGAAAAATCCTTCAAAGTTTCTTTTCTATGTAAAACTCAAGAGCAAATTGCAATAATTGCGGGTTGTAGTAAATTATTTTAGGTCAACTATAATAAAACTATATAGAAAATATAGAAAAAAGGTTTTTTCTTAACAGCGGTCGTCCCTCGGCAGGCAATGGCAAACCTCCGAGTGTATTTCTGCCGTGAAAAACAGCTTTTCATAAAAATACAATCGCCGTTCGGAGTCGGCGTAAAACTGTAGGTCCCTCCGCTTTGTGTGACAACTTCAAGGCGCACGCCACAAATCGGAGGAGAAGCTCGGCCAAACACTAGCATATGTGTAAGCGCCAATCTATATTATTATAATAAAACTAAAGAAGTGAGAAAAAACAATGGAAAATAATTGGTGATTTAAGTCAGACAAGTTGGTCGCTTGTCGATGAAATGTTGCAACATACATATGTATGTAAAGTGTAGAGGGGTGAAAATTGCGACGGAAACAAATCATTAGCAACGCCTACAGATACTTAAAAGATTACGGGAAAATATGCGCTGAAACAAAGGAAGATTTTTTATTACAAGCATAGTTTCAGACATACACATGTACGTATGCACATACAGTTAGCGTCAAAAATATGCATACCCTGATGTTTTGACGGCTTTATTTATTTAGGTACATTTATTTTTCACACCAATTTTTTCTTATTTTTTTCTTAATATCTTATGGTTCGTTCATATTTTTTCTAATTTCATACAAAACTCGGCAAAATGCGAGAAATTTTCATCGAAATTTAAAATTTTTCAATTTGATTTCTTAGAAGCCTGAGTATGCAGTTTTATATCCCATTAAATTTTATTATAATAAACTGCAAGTTTCAAGACTCTAAGAAATACCATTGAGTTTTGAGATTTTTTCCGAGGTTGTTGCGTACATTCTTACATAAAAAAAAATTGTGTTCATGTGTTATATGGAAGAAAATGCGAAAAAAATTTCACTAATCAACGGTAACTTTTAGCGACTTAAAACTTGCACTAAAAAATTGAATTGGAAAATTAAACATTTTGAGTAAATATCGTGGTATTTATTGCATTTTTCCAAGTTCTGTAAGAAATTAAAAAGATTAGTTCTTGTGGTTTTTACTGTTGAATGAACTAAATTTTTATAAAAAAAAAAGAAAAATTTTGTATGGAAAATATGAATAAATCAAATCGGCAAAGGGTCAGGGAACGCATATGTTTAACGCTGACTGTATGTATGTAAGTACAACCGAAACTCGTTTCAGATACATATATAATAAATACCTTATCACTGAAGAAAATATCTCGAGCAAGCAGGCAAAAATTCGCGATTGCTATTAACTTTTTTCTATACACTTTGTAATAAAGAAAAAAAATTTTCTTATCCAACGCCAGATTTTAATTGTGAATTGACTCAATGAAGCACATGTCTGTGTATATCAGTGTACTGCAGCAAGCTACTTACAGTTCAAGCTACTTGAAAGCTTGCTTGTATTCACTGGACTTTGTTCGAAACAAGCAAGTAAATGCTTGGCTCGCTTGTTGGATTTCAACTCATACTCGTACTTGATTTACTTCAAACTTATCGAACTCACTATTTATTGGCGAAACAAAAACACAATAACACATAACAATACCCATTGGTTGTAACAAGCTGATTCTCGGTTTGCAATATGTACATACGGACATGTGTATTTACAAGTGCTGCTGCTTTATTCAAACTTGTTCGATTCAAGCTACGACCGTTATTCATTTGCGTTTAAGCTATGGTGGCTTGTTTGAAACAAGTGTGAATCATACTTGCGCTTGTATTTTTTTCAAGTGGCTTGAAAACGTAAATGAATCGGCTTGTGCAGTACACTGGTGCATATGTATGTATACCCCTCTTACCTTGATGCGGAGATCTTCTGCGTTTCAGTTTATATTCATTTTATTGAAAATAGTTTTTATTTTTATTTTTTGCTTTCTTTCTTACAAACTCAACTCGAAATATCTAATTTTCTCGTTACAATACCATTCACACAATACCGTTTAAGGGTTAACGCTTATTACAGGCATCCAGACCAGTCTGTGGATAAAAGCAAAGAGGAGTATGCCAAGGCACAAACTACTTCATATAATGTGTGAAGTGGCAATGCGGCGAATCCATTAAAATTCTTCAAGTATGCTCTTCTATAAAGTATGTATTCTTACAAATACTCAACAGTAATGCCACAAAAATGGCCATGGCCAATGTGAAAAGTGGCAACAGCAGCAAACAAATAAAATGAAATACAAACTTTTGCGTTCATTTGTTGCACATACATATGCGCATACTAGGGAAGGACCAAGGAGAAGAAAGAAGACCATATGTTCCAATGGCTTAATGCGGCCCCTTTTACACTGTGCATTTGACATTGTAATTCACTCGCCTGCGTGCGTCATGTGTTGCTTTGACCATAGTCGTTTGCGGCATGGCGCTATTAGTGTTTACTGGAAATACGCTTACTCATGCGAATTCGTTAGTGATTTCTTTTATGGTGTTAAGACGTAAGAATCGACAAGATACGTATAAAAAATAAACAACAACAACAAGTAGCCAGAAATGCGTACAGTCGAAGATTGTACCGTAATGACCTGAGAAAAACATGAACAATTGGTTGGGATTCTGGAGGAATGATTTTCTGATTCCATGTAATTTATGCCTTTAACAGTTACCGGATTGTATATGTCTTGGGTGCGAGTATGCACTATTTAAACTCGTACACAGTTAGTGAGGTTG